ACACACACACACACACACACACACACACACACACACACACACACACAGACAGCAAAACGACAGAGAGAAAGACTGAGACACTCACTCTCACACCCTCTCTCTCTCACACACACACTGACTGAAGGTCAGTTTCTGCTTTTCTTACACATTATCCCTGTTGCACACACACACACACACTTAGAGATGTTCACCCTTGCATGAACTTATAAAACTTTCTCAGATGACTTAACAGCCCTCTCCCACCAGAAGCACTGTAAATCCCTGACCCCCCTACCCTCCATCTCATATACACACACTTACAGAACTTGTGACCGGCTTATAGTCCACCTGTACGAGTTTAAAGTTGCACGAGAATCTTTTTAGTCGGCGGTTTGTTCCCACTGATGCGTCATCGACGTATCTTATCTCCTCTGCTGTCCTCAGAACCAGGAGTTGAACGCTGGGAGAATCGGTTTGACTCTGGTCGTCGCTGGAATGGTCGGCTCCATCCTCTGTGGCGTGTGGCTGGACCACACGAAGACGTACAAGTAGGCAACACATGCACACACGCCTTCCCCACCCGTTCATGTTAGGCTAACGTCTCACGGAATTTACAAAACATTACGTGATACCATAGACTATAACAAATGGACGCAGTCACTGTGACGTCACTCATTGCTTTGTGGAGTACGGTTTTTGAAGCCTTTAAATTCAGCATTTTGGCCGCCGTCATCTTTGTTTTTTTTGCATCCAGAAGCGACACGAGAAGATAAGGAGACATTTTTAGGCTACCAAAAATGTTACAATTAACTTTCATTTGTTGAAATCACACCGTAAAAAGGTTAAAGTTGTAAGACGAAAACAGGGACAACCGTGGTAGTTTACTGAGGTAATAAATCAAGAGAGAAGTAGAGTCATTTTCTCATAGACTTCTATACAACCAGAGGAGTCGCCCCCTGGTGGACACTAGAGAGAACGCAGCTTTAAGGCTTCACTTTTCAGATCCACTGGTTACACCTGTGTAATACCTGTGTTATACATCATTTTTTTAAAATTTGTAACATATTTTTTTTTCTTGTGAATAGTCAGGAAAAAGAGTTAGTGGCTCATTACTTGGCAGAAAGCATTTGGACACTTGAAGATACCTGACTGGCTCAAAGTCGGCGTTCCAGTTCATCCCAAAGGTGTTGGATGGGATTGAGGTCAGGACAGTCTGTTTCTTCCACACCAAACTGGATTAGTTCAGGACATTGTTATTGTGACAAAGGAAAGGGTCTAATGACTAGTGTATCATTGTTCTCCGTAGCTTTAAGACTTCACTTCATGGGAGCTAAGAGGCCCCAAAACCTTGAAAAGGTGACCCAGACGGGCCATGTAGTGTAGTATAAGAGTCGTGTAACATGCTTGCGTGAGAACAAAACAAGTCTTCCAGCAGAGTAGATGAGGAGAAATGAAACCTGAGGCACCCAAGTTGAAGGGAGCTAAATAAAGATAAATTCTGATGCCACTTAGACATGTCAGGTTGCGTCGGTGACAGGAAATTCGAGTTCTGCAAGCGATGTTCAACGTGCCGCCGTAGTTATAGGCAGTAAATGGGAGGAAAAGGAATCGGAGAGCGATCACAGGAGCAACACGTTGCCTCTGATTGGTGACTGAAATACTGTCAATCAAAGTAGTTCAATAACGCTGTCATGGTTGTGCTTTACAGGATGACGACTCTGCTCGTGTACGTCCTGTCCTTTCTGGGCATGCTGGTCTTCACCTTCACTCTGAACCTCAACAACATCATCCTGGTCTTCTTCACAGCTGGAGCTCTGGGGTACGACTGGATCCCAGTCACTGAATGTATATACTCACACGTTTAATAGATGCTTCATGTCTCCAGGCTGCACAGTGTCGTAATACCCCAGTTTGACCCTGAAAGCAGGGTCAAGGAATCAAAAAACGGAGCAAAGCCTCATATACCCAGTGGTATGCTCACTACTTCCCACACACGTGCATCTTCTCTAAAACGTCTATGCAGAGGTTGTTTTAAATCGTGTGCTTTTTACGAAGGTAGTGAGCGTACGACTGGATGAGTGAGACTTGGATTATGCTGCAGGAGTTGTGTGAGAGTTTGTATTCGGAGGTTTTCATATAGTTTTACTGTTGTTGAACGCAGCCTCCTTTCACTCACATTCATCCAGATGTTTCCACTTTTATTTTGTCATGCGATCGTTTGCGTTCTGGATCATATATTTGGGTGCCCTCTTATAGCTGCATGCTCAAGGACCCGTCTGCTCCTCTGACAATATAAAAACATACATGTTAAAAAGACAACAATAATCTAAAAGGGATTGAAACAAGAAACAGAAGAGTAAAGGTTCAGTTTGGTGGAAGAGCTGCGAAGACGGATGGTGTGCTGTCTGTCGTCTCTGTAACCTCGAGGCTGCACAATGAAGAAACAGGGTGTCAGCGCTGTCGCTGTCTCTGTCTCTCATACTGTTGCAGGTGTAAACACACCCGCTGTACGAAGAAGCTGTGTTTACACCTACATCGTGTGCACATTTCAAACCACCTCCAGATGTGGTTTGGATCCGATTTGTCAGAATCACATTTTAGTTTGTTTTTTTGTTGTTACCAGGATAAAAGTCTGAACAACACCGTCTGCTCCTTTGTATTGTTGTGCACATGACCGTATTTAAGTTGAAACGTCTGTGTTTCAGGTTCTTCATGACGGGTTACCTGCCGCTGGGCTTTGAGTTCGGAGTGGAGATCACCTACCCAGAGTCTGAAGGGACGTCGTCAGGACTCCTCAATGCTTTTGCTCAGGTACCACCAAGTTTCTCAAAGGTGTCCTGAAGGTGCTACATGTAGAGCTCTCACATCCATTAACCGTGTGTGTGTGTGTGTGTGTGTGTGTGTGTGTGTGTGTGTGTGTGTGCGTGCGTGCGTGCGTGCGTGTGTGTGTGTGCAGATGTTTGGGATCATTTTCACTCTGATTCAGGGCAAACTGACCACAGACTACAATCCGCTGATTGGAAATATCTTCCTCTGCGCCTGGATCTTCTTGGGGATACTGCTCACTGGTAGGCTGCGTGTGTGTGCGTGTGTGTCTGTGTGTTCTTTTGTGCATGTCAAGCCAGATATCAGAGATGTAATATTTCCTTGTTTTATGTTTCAGCTTTAATTAAGTCAGACCTGAAAAGACACAATATGAACATGGAGGCGGACAACAACCACATGAAAGCAGTGAGTACACTAAAACACACACACACACACACACACACACACACACAGACCGCAGATCACTTTCTTTGCACAAGTTGAGTGTAACATCTGGAGAGAAACATTCAGGAAATGAAAGTGTCTGTTTTTTGATGTCACATGAGTCGGAGCACCAGACCAGACTTAGCAGGAAGTCACAGAAACAGTTACTTCCTGTTAGATCCAATCTGTAGGCTACTTGTAGTTTTCAGACCACGTCCGTATTTATTTATCTTTGTTTGTAGATATATATTTATGTGTATCTGGCATTGTGTTCTATCCTTTATTCTCTTCACGTCTGCCTTGTGGAACACTTTGCTGCTCGTTTTAATATGTGTTCTATAAATAAGCTTTATTATTATGATTAAACCTTCACTGCGTAACATGATACTTTTTGTTTATTATACTTAGTTTTTGGTTTGTGTGTTTGTTTATGAAACACTGTGGGCTCCTGCAGTTATAAATATGAGTATAGGTTCAGGACCAGCATGCACCGGGGCAGGAGAGGCAGCGATAGGATTCATTTTGTTCTTTCGTTAGCTTGCCTGTTCTGCTTTGTGAAATAAATCATAAGAAACATGGAATTTAGCATGAACAATGAACCACACATACCCATGGTGCATCAGTGGCCCTTTGATTTATGTTTGGTTTAGATTTTTCTTTATTAATTTCTATCATTTTCTCTTCCCGTCTTTCATCTGCATCCCGCCGGTGTGCCCTTTAGAGAGGACAGCATTGAGTCTGAGCGTCTCTTTGTTCAGTGTCTCTCCCCTCACTGGCGTCCCATGGCGTGACCTTATGACGAGACAGATTCTTGAACAGTCCTCTGCTCTCCCTGGACAGAGTCCCTCTTCAGTGTGGACATTAAGTGTCTTGATGTGTTTCTGTTCTGGCATATGAACAAAGCTATAAAATACTTGACTCTCTGCTCGCTACCGACTGATTCTCTCTAATGGTGTCTGAAGGTGCCCTGCGAAGCGCCCTTCAGACACCCAGACCATTAAATCTGTTTCTGTTTCTGGACTCTTTCATCAAACACATCTTCTCCTTCCTCTTCATCCCTCGCTCAGAGGTTTACACCTGAAGCTTTGGCTTCCCCTGAGAGATCACACAGTCAAGTTCAAATCACCAGCGATCACAGATAAAGGCTCTTCTTATTTATTATCTTATTATTCATCAGGTTTAAAGCGATCTTTACAGTTCAAGATATTTAAATTGTCAATAAACCTTATGCCATTGGTGAGAGAGACGGCAGCCGTTGATTCCTTGGGGACTGACATGAATACAGTTGCTCAGTTTCTCCAGTAGAAGGTGAAAGTCTTTTGAGCCAGTTTTCCTTCACAGAATATCAAAAGACCCAGCGTGGATCAATGGTCTTCATATCACTTGGCTGTGTGGAGAAGAGAACTGGCAACGGCTTTGTGTGCTACGTGTAGATTGTCAGGCTTTGCTCACATGTTTGGTTTCATAGTCCCCGAACAGAACAGTGTCCGGCATATCAGGTGTGGAGTTAGGAATGTGTCCTCTGGCTCTCAGCCCAGCAAGCGGCAACCTCCGGGTCTGAGAAGTGAACCCAATGAGGCAGTGTGACACTTGTATTATCTCTCATAGCCTCCGATCGTGATGGAAAACATCACTAGTTTGAGAAACAGAGGTAAAGTTTGTCAAATCAAGTTCGTATTTAATTCTTCAGTGTCCTGTTGGCCTCATCACAGTGAGTGCTACTGCATCCACATGTCTGGAACTCAGCCCACGCTCTTCCAGACTGAAACAAATGTTCGTGGACTTGTCTTGCTGGTGGCCATCTGAAACGTGTCTCTGTCTTTCTGTCTCCTGTAGCTTCCTATTGAGTGTCCCGGGGACGGACCCTCAGAGAAGAAAACCAACGGCGTCAAACTGGAGCCCTCGATCAGCTTCTCCCGTGAAACCTCGCTGTGACCCCGCCGAGTCACCGAATCCACCGAAGAAGGTCTCCCCGCTGCCCCGGGATACTCGTCGGCACCGAAACCTACGTGAAGTACCTAAAAAGCACACTTTATTATTTATTTATTTTGCCGAGCTCCCTGCCGCCCGGTCGTATGAAGCACAGCCACAACCTGCAGTGGAGTCAGGCAGGCAGGTGAGCAACGCGGCGCGGAGGGGTCGACGTTCTCCATCAGAGCCCGCAGTGGGATCCGGGTCCCTCCTTCTCCCAAACACTTGCAAAGTGTTCCCTCCAATCTACAGAACCTTGTCTTTCATTACGGAGAGGTAGTTGTGGATTACATACAACAGAAGTATGCAGGCAGTGTCATGCAGAAGGAGCTCCGCTGCACTTTTCAAAGAAAAACAAGCTTCCAGTTCTTCCATCACCATCACGAGGTTGGCTGGAGTTGAGAGAAAGTACTCCAGGTGACATGTTTGGAGTCTCTAGCTGTCCTGGAGAACAAACCAGAGAGCCATTGTGTTTGCACACCGCACAGAACCAACGTCTCCTGAGTTCACTTGAATTTGACTTTCATGTTGATATCGCTTCATTTGATTTCTTCTTTACGTACGACAGTAGTTATGTGGAACCAGTGAAACCATCTGAAGTCTGCTTTGGTCGACAGTCGACATAAATCATCTTTATTTGTCTGTCATGCTGCATGCGTATCAGACGCAGCTACAAACCATTGCTTTGTGTTAGTCTCCATGATAATGTGCTGACTCCGTCATAAATGGGATGACAGTAAGTCCGAGGAGGTCTCGACAATTACGTTTTTATTTGCAGCTTTTCTTTGTGACACCGGTTCACATATGAATGTCGCTCTTTACTCGCTGGGATCCATAAGAAGCTGGAGGTGACGCAGAAGAGTAAAATGTTTGGAAGGATCGTATTTGTCTTTTAGGTTCCTGCGGTGCATGAATGAGATGTTTCTTCCCTTAACTCACCACCACAAGAGGACAATTAAAGCTGCTTATGAAGCTGTCCTGACACAACACTATGCTTATGAAGACGATTATGACGTCACAGAAATAACCATCTGCAGTAGTGAAACAGATGTTTTGATGTGGCTGGCTTGTAAAATGTCCTCACTGCACAAACCACAACGGACCAAACTGAATATGAACAGTTCAGCGCACAGTTAGAAAAAACACGCACAACTTCAAGTTTTATACTCAAAGGCATGATTTCAGATGAGTTCTTAATGCTTATTACACTCTGTACATCACAGCTGACGGAGGGAGGGACAGCGCCATCTTGTGGGTTCTCTTCAGAAGTAAGAGCCGAGCGGGACAAGCACAACAGAGATCAAGATGCTTATTAATTCAATCTGTCTGATGTATTTCTGTCCCATGAAGCTTTCTTTAACCGTTTATAACTGAAAGTATACTTTTGTTTTAGTTCGGTTGAATAAAAGTTGCCAACTTTATAGTTTCAAAATAGATATAAAATGTGTAATTAGTCTATTTCAAGCTGTTTAACTGACACAACAGATGTTTTGAAGCTTAAAGTAAAACACAAGAGGCTAACTCAATTCATTTTGGTAAATGATTTATATTTTTTATATTCATCCCTTTTAAAAAATGCAAAAATAACTCAAACAACCAAACTTTTATATTTTGCATTTTATTTTTCAATGCATGGCAGCACCTCATCTATCATCTTCACCCCCACGAGCTGCATGTCAGCTGACTTTATTTATTTATGCTGAAAACCGTGAAATGACACGAAAACAACTTCAGCTGTTGCACATTCCACAAACACGCTCGACACATTCTGCTGAAGCGATATTGTTCCCGTCATCAGAAGTTTGCAACATTTCAAAATGAATTGTCAGAGAATCGGTATTAAATAATGGTACTAGGCAATGAAATGTTATTGTTATGATGGAGAATATTAGTCAAGTGTTGACTTGATGACATCAGCAGAGAAGCGCTTTGCTTATTTTTTTACTTTTTTTAATGTACCTTCAACGTGGTCGCATGCTTCTCCAAACTGCTGTTACAGCTTCTGTTTCTCTATTTATCTATCGAGCCTGATGTAACTATGTGATGAGTGTACTTCAGGATTGTCTGATACATTTTCATTATCTTAAGATCCGTACATTTCTTTGTCTTTCTCTAGTTTTTATAACAGGAACTTTTATAGAACACTTCAGTTTTATCATACGGTCATATGAGTTAGTTGTTGATTAATTATGAAAGGGTTATTAATATGTGACTTAGTTAATAGGCTTTAGTCAGAAAAACAAATAGATTTTACAAGTGAAATCATGAAAGGGTATTGTGTTGTGTGATCCTATGACTGCTGCTGATAGACAATGTATGAATGTGTTGCAATGCTGTCTCCTCTCCTGCCTCACTGTGTCCATGAGACACATCTCCACAGCTCGAGGCTGTTTCATATATGAATCATGTTCTCGGTGGCAGCATGTCTTCATGGTTTTGAATGAGGGGGCACTTGTAACAGTTATCTGAGACAAACCAACTTGATGGAAGAGGTCAAACTGAAATCTAAGACAGAACACCTCATTTGTGCATTTTCCATTCAGCTATACTGTGACTCTTTGTTGAAGGAGAAGGCTTGTGATGCTTGTGTTGGTCTGTTTGTCTCTAGTCTGTCTCTCTATACTTTCTGACTTGGGTACCACATGTGTGGGACTCATCCTGAAGCCCATAGTCGTCTACTGGGGTTGTAAGTCATGAAGTAAAATAACAGGTCACATTGATGTGTGTTTAACAATGGAGCTCTATGGCAGAGAGGAAGACGATATGTCTTGTTCGCCGGATCAATTCACTGTTCATTTGTTCACAGTAAGAAAATGGAGAATATTGCGAGCCTTGTCCTGTAATTCTCTATGTATACCGACACAAACCTGGAGTAGAGATACTTACATTTGTGCAGATTGTTGCACTAGATGTATTCAAAAATGTAAATGTTTCATTTATCTGTGAAGCTGCTGTTTGGTTTCATCTCCTCTTCTCAGCGATCCAGACACTGTGGGACTGCTGTCATGAATAACTGCATTCAGATTATACACAGATGGCATTACTCTGAAGACACTGGGTCAAATCACAACAATAAAAGCATTTTACTCCAATACTCTGCAGTGTTTTACTCCAATGTCTTTCCTCTTGAAGTATGCTCAACAATGACCCGTCAATGTTGTGGTTAGCACTGTCGCCTCAGAGCAACAGGGTTCTGGGTTTGAACCAGGCAGCAACCTCGGGTTCCACGCAGTGAAGCCGATGCTTCATGT